ATACTACATTGACTGAGGAGGATAACATTATGTATGAAAGCTGTGCATACCTGTGCAGAATAAGATTTTTCTGCCAAAACAAAAACATGTTCATCTACACATTCATGGTAAATGAGAATACTGGCAGTATGCCTTTCTTCCTCTGAACATAACCAGCATTTCAGCTAAGAACTGGAATAGCTAATGTCATGTTAATATTTTGCCAGAAAATTGAAACATCTCAGCTTTTTTAATGAAAAAAGCTGAGATATTTTTTAATAATATTTTTGATGGCTAGTAGTATTTTGAAAGCCTTTAACTTAATTCTTGGAGGTGATGTGTAAGTGTGTGTGCATGTAAGTAAAATAACTAGAATAAAATGGCTGGTTATGTTACTTTGTCATCTGTTATTTCTCCATTAACACACAAAGAAAGTCACCATGTTTTCCACTTTTGAAACTGCAGTGGTAACTTTCTTGTGTGTAGTAAACAAACAGGTATTCAAACCACTAAACTCTTTGTAATGGTGTTCTCTGGATCAATACTAAAAGCAAGCACCATGTTTCACGACATTTCTGAGTTCTTGGAAACTTTCTTAAAGATGCTTTTATTAAGCAGTGGAGTCCCTCTACAGCTGTTTGGATTGCATTTGGAAATTAACAGATTAAAGAGTCATTTACATTAAATCTAAACCTCAGACAAAAATTGATATTGAACCTCTTCTCTGAGTGAGGAGGATATCTCTTGGCTACTTAAGACAAGAAACTGAGCAGGAACAGGGTCATAAGCTCTTGCTCACTCCTACACCATGTGAGGAGAAAGATAAGCTGTGAAGGTTGTTTCTGGGTTTGATACCAGGTCCAGCCTGGCAAGACAGACAGCAAACCAGCAGAAGCCAAACAACTTTGCTGTGTAGTAGTACAGTATAGAGCAGGGTAGTATATGAACCCCTGGCCCACCACTTGCTGGGCTGGGTAGGGGTCTGGCAGCCAGCCAAGGTCAACCCACCACACCATTTAATGAGTTTTGCCTGTAATCAGGTTTGTCATGATATTCTGCCTAGATTTTGTAAAAGATATGGGTGTCAAAATCCTGTCTGTAAGTGGCAGCAGCAAAGGAGCAGCAGTACATTACCCGGTTTGGATACCTGCAGCCTGGTGCAGTAGGGGCGGTGGGTAAGAGGAACTGAGGTGGATGGTGCGTACCGGCTACGGGAGTGTGCTCGGTGCTGCTTGGCTTGGAGAAGGCTTGCACTTTGCTTCTTAGAAACCATTGCCCAGAGCTGCCTTGGGGCCAAAGGGCAAGTGGGAGTTGTAGAAATGCTCTTACAGTACTTGCAGTACTTCCAGCACAAAAATCCAGGAGGGATGGCTGTTATAAATGGCCAGGGTTACTGGTGCTTACCTGTTTTAGCAGGAGACTGGCTTCACAAGCCTGAATAGCTCCCTTGCACTTCTTGTTTCAGGCCCGGTCACAAATTCATCTCTACTTGCAAAAAGCCTGGCAATTGAGGGAATCCTGCTCCCTCCTTGAAAGTAGCCTGTCTTGGTTTCAGCTGGGGTAGAGTTAATTTTTTTTAGAGTAGCTGGTATAGTGTTATGTCTTGGATTCAGTATGAGAAGAATGTTGATAACACACTGCTGTTTTCAGTTGTTGCTAAGTAGTGTTTAGACTAAGTCAAGGATTTTTCGGCTTCTGATGCCCAGGCAGCAAGAAGGCTGGAGGGGCACAAGGAGTTGGGAGGGGACACAGCCAGGACAGCTGACCCCAACTGGCCAAAGGGGTATTCCATACCATGGGACATCATGCCCAGTATACAAACTGGGGGGCGTTGGCTGGGGGGGGACAGATCACTGCTTGGGAACTATCTGGGCATCAGTCAGCGAGTGGTGAGCAATTGCATTGTGCATCACTTGTTTTGTATATTCCAATCCTTTTATTAGTATTGTCATTTTATTGTTGTTATTATTATCATTATTAGTTTCTTCCTTTCTGTTCTATTAAACTGTTCTTCTCTCAACCCATGAGTTTTACTTTTTTCCTTCCAATTCTCTCCCCCATCCCACTGGGTGGGGGGGAACTGAGAGCGTGGCTGCGTGGGGCTCAGTTGCTGGCTGGGGTTGAACCACAACATAGCCATAGCACCCAGCTGTGCAGGGAGCAAACATCTTAAAGACCGATCAGACTTCACAGTCAGAAGAAAGAGAGCGGGGCCAGTGTGAACCAAGCAATGAAATAAACAGTTCATAAGTCAGCTGTAAATTCTTTTAGCATGTTTACTACTGTAAATGCACAGAAGAGTCTGATATTAGGTGAAGCGGTGTCGAAGATGGAAACATCATTTAAAAAAGGGAAATGAGAAGGTGGTCATTTCAGAAAGTATCACACACAGAGAGGAAATTAATGCCAGGTGAGAACAGATAGTTCAAATTTGCAATCAATGAAGCATAATAATTTTTAACACCCAGCTTTGTTTTTCTAGTAATACTATTTATAAAGTACAAAACTGTAAAGGTTTTCTATGTCAGCAGTCTCATTAAAAATACCATTTTATACTGACGGCTTTCTGTAATCATTGCAAAGTCCCAGAAGATGTTTTTAATAGAAGCTTTCCTTTACCAAGCAGCCTTTGCTTTGTATCAGCTGTCAGAGAATGACTAAGACCCTTTTGTAAAACAGACATGCCTGATTTTAAACAAACCCACAGCTCAGCAATGCAAGACAACACACTTACTGTTTCTGAGGAGAGAAATTATTTTAAATCACTTCCTTGTTCCTCTCTAGACTCAACTGCTGTTGACTGAAGCATGCTGTACCAGAAATGCTAATAGTCACCATAACTTAAGGATATGAAGTTATGTTTTGATGTTGCAACTATAAACATAATGCTCTTTTTTTGGTAGTTTGTTGGGGTTTTTTTATGAATCCTAAAGCCAGTTCTGCTTAGGATCAGTTTGGGACCATGTTATATGGGTGCACAAGCACACTGTGATTAACATGGCATTACCAGTTTCTGGTTTGGAGAGCTGCTGTCAGTCTTGTGTCTTGTTTTTTTACAAATGTGTGCTTCCAGGGGGCTAGAGCAGCGCTGGTCTCTCAACACAGCTCGCTCTTTAAGTATGTTGCTAAGCCCACACGGCCAGGATGAGGGCCAGCATCATTAAGTATCATTAAGTAAGTATCCAGGTAAAATGTCTGTGCAGTGTCTGGTGACTGTATCAGCAGCTGTTGTTTAAAAGGAAGAAATGGCTTGCAGCTCTTCCTATATTACTGGAAAGTTGGCAGGCTTTCCCCCATCTTCTCTAGCTGTCTTGCTAGGCCTGCATGTAGAACAAGGGATGATGCACTTCCAGACATCTGACTTGGCCCACAGCTGCAAAAATAATTCCTCTATTCCACACCACTACAAACTGACAGGTGAAAACAGGTAATACTTCCTAATGAGAAAACTTTGCAGGACAGTTGAAAAACCCTTAGCACAGACTCAAGTGAGTTTACACGCACACATACTGTGTTCAACTTGGGAGTAGCTGGGAAAGACGCTTGGTGCAGTTTCCAAGCCTGTAAAATGCGATGCACAGTTGCAGCCACTGCAGTACTGGTTTTTTCCAGCATTTAACCAGCATTCAGACAAGTTTTTAACCAGCATTCAGGCAAGTTGTAGAACAGTCCATACAAAAACATATGGAAGAAAGGCACAAGCTTGATTTAGGCTCAGAATATTTGGTCAAAAATGAAGCACACAACAACCTGCTAATTCACGTAAGGAAGAAAAACAGTTAAAAAATTTTGAAGGGACAAACAAGCCTTTGACAGCTGACCTCAGACTGCAATGATCTTCCTGCTCATTCAGGTAGGTGAGCAAGTTTTTAGGCAAGGCCCGTCCAACTTTTTGCCAGTTGTATGTATAAGCTGTACAGGAAATCAACTGCCAGGACACTGTTTTCAAGAGGGAAAAACGATGGATAATATGTAGGAACTAGGGTATATACAGTGTGTTGCTTTTCAAATAAATAACAATCACTCCATCAGTAATTCATATAATCAGTGTCTCTGTAACAGGGCACTTCTGTTGAGCATGCCAGAGATGCTCCATGGAAAAAGGATCAATTCCAAGACTGCCGAGTCAGTACTTTACTAACACTACCTGTACAGTTCTGCTTTAAAAAAAATTTAAAAATTAAAAAAAAATCACATGGAAGAGAAAGAAAATCTTCCAGGAGCAAGATACAGTAATTTGATCAGTGTTGAGGCAGCATGTGGGAAAAAGGCAGCAAAAGGTGCTTGCTGGAGCAAAACTATGGAACTAGCTAGGGACCAGTGAGCAGATGGCTCCTTCCAGCAATTCTTGCAGTGAAGCTGAGCAGTCAGTCTCTTCCTCCTGCTGCCGTGACACGTCTCTGTGCATACCACCAAGAGAGATGTTGTACCTAAGGAAATCTCAAGCAGAGTATGTCAGCAGGCAGAAGGTCAACACTTGCCAAGAACCAAAAGGTGCCTCCTTATTTTTATGGTGCCATAAGAATTTTTGCTATTTATAAAAACAACTTAAAAAAAAAAGGACTCTGAGGCTGAGACCATCTCCTCTCATGGTTTTGTTGTACAGCCAACCAGTTTGTGGTGCCCACTGAAGGCCATGTTTGGGGTTTTTTTCTGGTCAATCAATCACTGTTGTGTGATGCTCCACTAGCTGTGTGGTGATTGAAGGGCTTTGTAGAGGAGTAGGAAAGCATGGAGGGAATGTGAAGAGTGGAAGCGTACTGTTGCTTTGGCTGTGAAGATGCACGTGCACAGTCATACAGCTTGAATGGCTCCATGGTGCTGCCGCAGCTGGCAATCGGACAAGTTCCTTCCTGAGCGGAGTGAGGCACGTGGGATGTGACCTGCTCTGGGGTCACATAAGGAATCAAGAGAGCTGCTGGGACTGATGATCTCCCTTGCCATTGGCTTTAGTGCATGCAGCACTCTTCATTTTCTTGAGCCAATGAGCTAGACAAGGATGGCGCCAACTGCAATGCTTGGAAAGGAAAGGCCTCAAAGTGAAGCAGATGTTGTACCAACACCTTCTGATTACCCTTAAATTTCTTCCAGTCCTCCTGCTTCTTTAAATTTTTATCTTCTTTTTCTCCACCTTCCCAACAGCAGTTCAGTAACCAGAAAAATGGGTGTCACCTCATTTCTTTGGTCTTAGCTACTGGAACTTAACTGGTAAGCAGGGGAACGCTTCATTCCTCTTCAGTCATGTTGATGCAATGTGCAAAGTGCAAATTGTTAATCTAAGTGTATTTCAGATAACTGCAAAAGCATGAAGAAGGTGCAACTCCTTCCCTTTACAGACAGAGGGAGAGATTAAGCATTGTGCAGGAGACTCAGCTTTGATTTTTAGCAGAGTTCATGATAAAATCCAGTGCACTAGATGCCAGGTCTTCTGCTGTAACTGTGGTGCCTCTTGGGCTTTTTCTACAGTAGGGACTTATAAGTGCATGAGAAGGATGTGTGAGATAATGAATTGTAATTAAAATCTACTGTAAATCACGTGTGTGCTTAACACCTGCTCCATTTATTGAACTTGAACACGAAGAAAGCATTCTCAAAGACGAGTGAAAGGAAGTGTAATGTAGAAAAGCAAGTGAAAGTGGGATGCTTCTTTACAGATACTATTCACAGCAATTTGAAAACCACCAAAAAGACTGTGGAGCCCATGTTTCATTTAAAAAAGTGACTGGAGGCTCTCCCATAGGAGGGTACTGACCATCAGTGGGACTTAGGCTCCTACCTGGCTTTGGGGTTTTGAAAAATAATTATACCCAGTGAGCCACTGAACAAGGGGTCCCATCCCAGGAGGCTTCAGGATGCACGTTTTCTTTTAGCGAGATTCTAGCATAATGTAGATTCCGTTTTTTGGTCCAAGCGTGGCTTTTGATTTCAGCTGCAAAGGAATCTGAAAGAAAAAAGAGCATCTTATGTACAGTTGTATCTATTTGTTTGTGTGTGTGTAACACCTCCACATACAGACAGACATATTTGCTGGGGGACCAATTCATACCAGGATTACTGTGGAAGCTGTAAAGTACTTGTTTTATAGTCAGCTGTGGTAGTATAATATTAAATAGAATTTACAGCCAGAGGCTGAGGCAGTGGTTGTCCAGGTATACTGTAGATCTGAACAGAAAGAAATTAACTCTCTAAACTCTAGAGGTGCTGAGTAAGCGCCCGGTGCAACGTATATAGCAATAGGCATATACTAAAGTGCTAAGATCCCGTGGAAGATGTACACCCATTCTCCCCCTGTGTAAATCAAGATATTTGGACTGCGGTGCTGCTACACTGCTCTCCACTAAGGCAGGGCCATGTAACTCTGTTTTGTTGGAAAAATCATAAAGGCTAAACCACATTTTGATTAAAACATGCAGTCCAGGCCTCTTGTCCCTCCTTATCACGGAAGTGGCCCTAGCAGTTTTCTCAAACGAAGAGAAGGTCACAAAGGCAAATCAGTCGTCCTGTCTAGGACACACTGTCAACTCCCTGAAGTTGACAAGTGTGGCCTTTGAGCCTCTGCATGTACAAACCTCAGTCTCTGGGCAGGTCTTAAATTGAAACTTCTGCAAAATCCTCAACAGAGTCATTTTTATCTCCAGCAAACCCATTTTCATGCCAATGCAGCCACGAGGTCCTGCCCCAAAGGGCAGGTATGCAAAGGGATGTCGTTCCTTCTTGGCCTCCTCTGTAAACCTAGAAGGTGCAGAGATGGAAACCGGTTCAAGAAATGTTTTTTGCTCCTGATTCCATGTTTTTCATTTACATCTCAAAAGGTGGTTATTTCAGTTGGTCTTAATGGACACGTCAAGGGGACTATTGACTGATTATGTCCTCATGGGACTGACACCCTTAAGTAAACAGATAATTGACTTATGGCTATCAGCCTTTGTCAGCTGGTGATTCCAGGAGAGGACAGACAGACATTAGTATAACTTCCAATCTATCTTTAATGAATTGCCTTCATTTGATGACCACGCTCAGAAGAATAACTTCAGGTGCAGACATGCTAGCTGTGTAGACCTTTGCATGTGTGAGGGAGTGATTACAACTAAGAGGAAACCCAACAGGCTGCAATGTGAACTAACTAGAATTAGCAACAGCACTTCTGTTGTGGTTTAACCCGGCAGGCAACTAAGTACCACATAGCCGTTCGCTCACTCCCCACCCTGCAGTGGGATGGGGAAGAGAATTGTGGAAAAAAAAGGTAAAATTTGTGGGTTGAGATAAAGACAGTTTAATAGGACAGAAAAGGAAGGGAAAAAAAACCCAAACCAAACAAAAAAACCAAACCCAAGTGATGCACAATGCAATTGCTCACCACCCGCTGACCGATGCCCAGCCAGCTCCCGAGCAGCTGTCCCCGGCCAGCTTTCCCCCCAGTTTATATACTGCGCATGACACCACATGGTATGGAATACCCCTTTGGCCAGTTTGGGTCAGCTGTCCTGGCTGTGTCTCCTCCCAGCTTCTTGTGCCCCCCTCTCCCCCCCCAGCCTCCTTGCTGGCAGGGCAGTATGAGAAGCTGAAAAGTCCTTGATTTAGTGTGAACAATGCTTAGCAGCAACTAAACCATCAGTGTGTTATCAACATTATTCTCATCCTAAATCCAAAACACAGCACTATACCAGCTACTAGGAAGAAAATTAACTCTATCCCAGTCGAAACCAGGACAGCCTCCCTGCTGTGCACCACAGATGCAGATCAACGGGAATTTCTCTTTGAAGCTTGCAAGGGGAGATTAAATCTCATGGGATTGAACAGGCCATGGAAGACTATTATTACAATTCAGTACAGCCCTTCTTTCTGCTCTTGGCCCAAAGAGACCAGGTTCCCAGTTGGGAAACATTGAAATTGCAGACAGTTCTGTTCTTAGAGCTGAAGTACCTCAGTCCAATTGGAAAGACTGATTAATGTGGCACTCTGTATGCAGATCTGCATCAACTAGCTAGCTTTAAAATACCTGATCAACCCACTAGAAATGAGCCTTTTTTTCTTCTTGTTTTGGGGTTGGTTTTTTTTTTCACAAGGAAGGAAACAAAATTCCTATTTGAACAGCAGTCCAAAGGAAAAAAAGTAAAATCTACTTGCCAACATCTGCAAAGATGGATGTATACTGGACAGAATATGTACAGCCAAGAGTACAGTGTCTGAGTCAGTACAAGTTGTTAAGGCCAATGCATAATCAACAAGGTGAGGCTCATCCTGGCCTGTGCTGAGTCACTGATCAGAGTGGTTTCTTAAAACAAGCAAACCTTTGCAGCGATGGCATTGCCCTGGAAATCTACACAGTTCTCCCAGTCAAAAGGTATTTGGAGCCGTTCTGGTAGTACAGAACTACTTTTCCAGTTCTGTGTGTGGATGAAGGTTCTGTCCTTCACATATAGGGTCATCCCAGAAAATCTCTCATCTGTTTGGATACTGTTTGCAAGAACTTTAGACTGCTAAGGCCCAGAGAACTCATGCAGGGTAGAAAGAGATGAAAGGTAACACAGGCTATTTTGAGGTTTGGAAAAAAATGATATTGTGTATTTCCACATAATATAACCCCATCCCCATGCTTAGATATCCTAAATAAGATTGGGATACTACTGCAGAAAGTACTATAGAAGCCCATAATTTGAGATTGAAGGACCGTTAACTCATGTACTGAGCACTGTTGCATATCCCATGCAAACAGGTTAATGCAATTCTTGCCTTGCTCAACCCCATATATCATTCTGGTAAATTTAAAGTCTCCCTTGTATTATTCCTGAGGCAGATTTCAAAATGAAATATTAGGGGGAAAAAGGCTGTAGCTGAATTAATTTATTTTTTGTTAAGCTCTTATTTTATAATTCTTACTAACATTACCAACTGATGCAAGCTGGGGAGAGTGTTAGTAATTATGCTTCATTCCTCAGGGAAATTTCAAAAGGGAATTCATCTCAGATTCATAACAAACAGCACCATATGAATCAAGGGGACTGCAGCCCCCACTACCCGTTTTACCCTGTAATGCGCTTTGATACTACTGTTAAAGTGGTGAATAAACAATTAAGACAGCATTTCCAGATAAGCATTGCTAAAAAAAACCTCCAGACTTCCAGTTATTGCTAAGATTCCTCCCCAACAAAAGCTCTGGGCTTCTCTAACCCTGGCATTGCTCTTCATGGTCTAAGGTCTCTGACAGAGTATATGCCAAGATTTGCTCCAGAAGGAGCATTGGGCAAACCCACCTACACCATACCTGGGTTGTCTTATGGCAAAGACAGTTCTGGGCTGCCTGCCTCGAACCCAGTTGTCTGTGGAGCATGCACTTTTTTTCTTAGTAAACTTTTCAGCATAGTGGTAGCTTAAAATGCAGCTGCCCACAAAATTAAATTGTGCTTCCACACAGCACCACATCAGCTGAAACTCTCCCTGTAAGCTCAACTCAGCATCTGTAAGATAGGGCAGGGTACAAAACCACAATTTGACAGTGCCTCCCCTGCCACCCCACCACCCCAGCTGAAGAGAATAAAAGCTCCATATGAAAGTATGTCTGCCAAGCAGACCTAAGAACCCAGGATCCTAACTTAAGGACAGCGAGCAAATTCCCAGTGGGAGATGGGATAGGTTCCCCACTCGCAGTGTAGCCACACCATTACAAGAGCTCAGGTGAAAAGGCTGCTCTAAACCAGCCAGGAGCAGGACGAGTTTCCTGGGTACCTCCATGCCAGTGAATATACTATCTCACTTCAGAATTTGTGCATCCAGAGGCGACACTATTCGCAGCATCTCATTTGGAAACAGATCTGAAAGCTTACACCGCATTACAACCTTGACCAAACCTTGCACCCTCTGTGGTATGTGCCACTTATCACCACTTGTCTAATTGTGTAGAAATAACATATTTTTATGATCTAAATTAAGCTGTGCTCTTCTTGGTGGGAATATTGCTTTGGGTGAATAGTGGGTGACTGTGGCTGTGAAGGAGCAGCAGGATCTGGTGTCTCCACTGGACAGGCTAGAGTCCTGTGCTCACCCTAATGCGTGAAACAGCATTTAAGGCAGGCCTTTCATCTAAACAGGCTCAAATAAGGACTTCAAGATAAGAATGGAAAACATTACTCCACATACCTCTCAGGAATGAACTTCTCAGGCTCTGGCCAGAACTCAGGGTTGTGGTGGAGATGTCCAACTGCAGTTTCAATGACAGCCCCAGCTGGAATATGCTGCCCCAGCACCACGCAGTCTTTAGCTGTTTCCCGAGTGAACCTGTAACAGTAAGTGTCATGTATCCCAGATGATTAATAAAGGTAAAACTACAGCAGGAGGGAACCATACAAGTCAATCTCTTCAGCCTAACTGACCCTGCAATTTTGGGAGTAACACTTTCCCAGTAGATAAATACACTAACCGTTGCTGATGCTAGTGTCTTCTCAGGTTACAATCATCTTCACCTAGAAGCACACATCTCCAACCCAGCTGGCTAACTTTTGCCCTTTTCACAGTAAAGCGTTTCTGGTTGTTTACAGTTTTCCAAAATGTTAACTGTTAAACTGCAATTTTGCTGCTAATGTTGGTTTTAGACTAATTTTTTATGAAAACTGCAGATAAAATGTGTCAGTCATCTCTAATAACAGGCAGAAAGAGTATGCTGGTTTGCTTTCAGGACACAATTATATCAAATACAGTTTTGAGTTTGTTTATCTGAGAAGCTCCTCCACATTGGGACAGCACCTGAAACTTAGCAAGGGATAGTTTTAATATTAGGGCCAAGTGTTCTGCTGCTGCTACAAAAATACAACCAATTCACAAGCCTTGGAAAACTGCATTTCACATACAATCATCAAAGACAGGCATGACGTTAGCAACAAAACTTTCCAGTTTCCTTCCACCCTGTGGTGACAGGTGACAGAGTAGGACTGTCCTTAGGAAGCTCGTTGTGACAAGAAGACTGAGAAAAGCTGCCTGCCAAAGCCAAGCTTGGGCCTGTAAACCTTGTAAAAAATGGTGTGTGGGCGTGCACGGCTGGCGGCAGATCCTGATCTAGATCTTTTGGTGCTTGGGTGGTTGCTACAGACCTCAAACCAGTGCAGACCCAGGCGAGTACCCTGCTCTCTCAGCCTAGGAGCTACTCCCTGGCACCAGCTGGGAGTCGAGGGGTGAGACAACGTGCAGGAGTTCCCTTTGCTGCTCCCCACGCTGCGCCGAAGAAGTTGAACAAAGATTTCAGTTTCAGGGCTGTCAGTCTGGTATCACTACAGGAACACATTCTGTCCTCGCTGTCACCCATCTCTCTCATAGACAAATAAATAACAGAGGCTCCAAACCTGGAACAAAACACTGCCATGCTAAAAAACACATTGACAAGCCATCCTTCTCATCCTTACATGAACTTGGTGATAGCAGAAACACGAGATCCCGAGAAGAAAGTTCTCTGGCTAGGAAGTTCATTTTTTTAAAAAAACAACTCAGTTTATAACAAGCTTGGCTGCTACTGAATTTTCCCCTAACTCAGCAACATCCTTGTCATAGGCAATTAGCATCTTTCTGAGGCACTGGGCTGTCCTATCCATTCCACATCCATCAGAGTAAAAGCCAGATCAATAAACACCACCAACGCCAACCGAAACTTCAGAACAACTTTGCTCCATTCCCATTCTACTTCCCATCGGACAAACACTGATCGTTTCCCAGTGTTTCAGCTGAAACTCAAAGATCCCTGATGCTTTAACTGGCAAAACAATTTCCACTTGTATACCGTGTATAACACAGTAAAGCCCAGTCATCTCATCCAGGAGCAAATACCTTTGACATTTACTCTCTGAACAATCCTGCAGATGTCCATGGAAAAATCTTGACTTCTGATCTTTGTGAACGTATAAAAGAGAATATGATTTGAAGCTTTTTTATTTTAAGGTGCTTGCAATCGTGGGGTAAATTTTTCAAAGGCTCTCACAGCAAGCTCAGCTTTGGCTCCTTTCCAGTCATCTGAATTTTCCCCCTGGCTTCACAAGAAGCAGTGCAACTGGCTGATCGCTTTGAAAAGTTCCATTCTTAACATTTGCATTTATGCTTGCGATTACTCGTAAATTTGACAGTCAAACGGCTTTCTAATTTCTTTTCCCCTTGTTTTCAGTTCATCAATGTAACTTAGTAAAATTCGTCATGTATGAATTGGGGCGAAAACTTTCAAAATTTAATGGATATAGCCATTAGCCTAGCTATATTAGTATAACACAGTACTAAGTGCAGAACAGTAGGGGTCCAAGTTAAACACACATGTAAAATACAGCTTTCTGAATGTGCAACCCCTCCACACATCAGCGCCTTAATGACCAACAGGCTATGGTAGGTCTTTGCTTCGTATCCATGAAACCCAAGGCATACGGAAGCAGCAGCATCTGGCTTTCTAAGGCCAGTCCTGCTGCAAAATGGCTCCATCCTCTAACCTTGGGGGATGTGAAGAACGGTGAGGAAGCAATCTCGGCCAATCCGTTGCAAAAAACTGCATTAGAAATACCAGTGTTAGCCAGTTTTCCTTCAATAGGCCACATTCTATCTTTCAAATGCACAAGCAGTATTGATGTTGGCACACAAACCAAGGGCTCATTGGTCTTCCAACAGCGGATTTCCATTTTATAGAGCTAGGGATCTACTCTGTGGAATCAGAAGGGGGAAAAAAAAAGATACCTGAATGCAGGTGGGTACATGCGCAATGTCTCTGCAATCACCATGTCCAGATAAGGGAGCTCTTGTACATTTTGGTAATCAGGGACCATCTGAAAAGGCAGGAAGAAAGGAACAATTACATTTTCTCACATTTAAGTGCCAAACGCATCTCAGATCAGCTTTTAAATCATCTATTTTTTACTGGGCATTTTTTCCTGTAGAAGAACTCGATGTCTCATCTGAAACAGTAAATGACAAAATTATACAAAAATGTGGGCAGTAATTAAATGTGTGTATAACATTCCTTTCATCATCAAAATGCTTTGGTGCACAGCCCAGCTGAAGATATAATAATAAATCAACTTGCTAGGAAGTATTAAAAACAAGGCATTACAGAGAGCATTAATAGCTACAACAGAGCTATTGTTTTATACATGTACTAAAATCTGCGCAGGACCCTTGTTTCTTCCCAAAGTCAAGAGTGTGGCAGACCAGGAGCACTTTGCTCACAAGGTACAGCAAGTCCTTCAGTTATTCTTGTTGCTGTTGGAGCAAACCCTTTGCCCTTTCCCAGTTACAGAAATAAAGCAAAGTGCTCGTGCTGTGATGCCTGCGGAGGGGCGGGAGATGGCACTGGAAGAAACCGGCACCCCGATGAGGAACAGCACGCAGCAGCAAATTGCTCTGCTGAGTAGAGGGGGCTGAGGTACAGCTCAAATCCCACCCGGCAGGATTGCAATAGTGCCTGGGGAGAGAAGCCTGTTTCCTCTCGTGGCCACCCCTTGTGTAACGCTGCTTAATTTTGCATGGTGGGCAACGCCTGAGCCCACGTTTTCAGAAGTCTACAAGACCACCCGGCCCTTGACGATGAGCGGTGGGCGTTAAAACCCAAAAAGGGTTGTAGGTCAGAAGACTTTGCCCTCTGACAGGCAGCAAACAGACAGCGAGAGACACCAAACCGCGGACGACCACCACCAGCAGCGACACGACCCAGTGCACGGACGAACAGAATTTCTCCCACTGTTATCTTCCTTGGAAAAAGGACATTCTCCTTGTCTTATTCAGTGCTCTCAGCAGAGGGCAGCCAAAGTACATCTAATAACCTCGCCAGGAAAGCAGAGTTTTGTTTTAAATTAGAGCATCTCCTAAAGACTGACACAGAGTAAATTGGAGAAAAGCACAGACGTCAGACTAGACTAAACCTTTTATGAAGATTTGGGGCCCCTGCCGTTCACAAAGGGGACTGGATTCCATCCTTCCTTTATTTACTACAGCACTTTTCATGTATAATGCATATTTTATTGAATTTTCATGCAAAAACATATGGTACATACTGAAAATACTAAGCAGAGAACAACTCCAGATGGTATGCAGAAAAGGCGTACAATAGAATGAGGATACCTTGCTGGATTAGGGTATCCCACTTATTCAGCACTGAGCCACCATGCACCATTTCACATTAACTGATCTTTTCTAGGAAGGAAATAGATACATTCTATTATCCCCATTCTTTTGGCTCAGGAAAGACAAGCAAAACCAGAGAAAGTAATTTGCACAGGCTGAGCAGAACCAGTGTGTCTGCTCCTCTCTTAGGGAAAAAGATGCAACTCAGCTTGAAAATAGATGAAGTATTTTGTCAGTATATGTCAAATATTATCAATACAGGAAGTATAGACTGCACTGACAGCCTTTCAGTGTTGCTTTTATATTGCAGTAGTGCCTACTAACTCAAACCTTTGGCTTAGGTCGATGGTTATCAGACAAAGGACTAGGAGACTAAAAGCCACAAATGGCCGCAATGTCGTGAGCATCATGGCTGAAGGCTCTGCGAGGAGCTGTGCTCTAATAATTTGAATATCTAGAATCGAAGACAGGAGGATGAGTTTTATCATCCTTGTTTTGCAGAAAGGGATTCGAGGGCTACCTGATTTTGCACAGGAAATCAGTAGCAGAGGCTGGAAACGAACTGTGATCAGACTCAAATTTCAGGCCTTCGTGGCAAAACTGCCCTTCTCCATAACCACGTAGGTGCTCCACGCTTCGATGCAAATGCATGCTGTGGTGTGTATTCATTTTTTTTCTGCTCATTTTACATCTCTCTTTCAGAACTTTCCTCTGTCCTTTTTATACAGCTCTCCCACATCGCTTTGAATCCTGGGTCAGCATCTGAGTCCTGTCCCTGCAATCCCTCCCGATTCCACTGCCAGGCTGGCTGACGGAAGAGTTCAGGCTGAGAGTAAATGAGTGGTGGAACCAAGAGCACCCTGTGATGTGTTCGATTCTCTGAGCCATGCTCTTTCCACTGGGCCTTCCTGTCTCTCTCATAATCCCTCTACTTACTTCTGGAGTCAATAATTAAGATAATTATATGGTAACCTGATATAATAAGCAGCCACTAAATCAAACCATACATCAACAAATAATATAACACGAAATTATGGGAGCTTTGATTTGCTCTTTCAAATAGCTTCTATACCTTCAGGGGTTTAGCAGTTCAGAAAACAAAGCAAAGGTGCGAAACCAGCTGATTTTCCTTAGAAGAAAGTTCTTTTTGCTTACATAAAGAAAAAGGGGTCGGTCAAATGGCAGCACAGTGAACTCTGCTATCGTGAGCATGGCAGACACATCAGTCATTTCCTACATCTGATGCAACTTAATTATTGGCACTTCTACTGTTTTAGCATCAAAGTAGCTGGACTTAATTTAGTAGTTGTTTGCAAGGTCTGACCTACAGCTGCGTAAAGTACACACCAGCCAAGTATCTCTATTTAGGAAGGACAGTTTGTTGCTTTTTTTTCCCTTTCAAAGAAAATATTTTCCATTTGTTTTTCCACTCCCTCTCTTCAAAATATTCCTTTAGCCAAGCACATTTCAAAGGAACTTAAATATGCTTTTCTCCCTAAATATCCCTATTTATATCTTTCAACTGCTGGCAGGTTTGCTGGGCTGGGGGGTGGTGTTGTGCAAAGATGCCACTTTAACCCCCTGCAAAAAAAAAATATGTCTACATTGCCTCTTGCTCAAGATTGGGTGTTTTTTCATTAAGGAAGAGATTCCTTTCTGTAACAAGCAGAGATGTGGGGGGAGAAAGGAGGCACCACACTGCATGTAATAAAAAATCCTATTTTTTAATTTTGCAGCCACTGCTTTGCACAGCCTTGTAGTATCTTTTCCTGTTGACATGGAAGTGAAATGGCCATGTAACATCTTGTGGCATTTCTCTGCATGCGTGTTTCCCTGGTTTGATTTCCGGAGGTGTGGTGGTACACCCTCACCCATCCCAGACCTCACCTAATCACTTCTGAGGTCCGGAAAGCATCTAGTTTAGCCACAAACTCTCCTTTATGACTGACAGCAAATCCCAGGCCTCTATTTCTTAGAAAAAGGTGGGAAATTAATTCTTCACCCCACAGAGTACTCTGAGGCAAAATACCAGCAGTGATTATAAAATTGCCTGTGTGCTACAAGGATGATGCTTGTTTTAATCCCCGTATAAATTCCAAGAGAGATAACTGCCTTCAGATCCACCTCTGCTTTTCAGTATTGGCTTTAGCATTTTCTAGGCAGGCAAACCTATTTTTTGCCACCACCCTCAGTTAACTTTTAATTCCTCAATGAACACCAAGGGAATCCAAGTGCTGACAGGAGAGGTCTGGCCAATCTTTCTGCTGCAGTTTGAGATGTTACTGTTCCCAGTTGCTCGCTCCTCTTTGCTGGCTGTGGTTAGCGTCACCACAGCCAAGTCAGCAGAAGGGAACATATGCCTGCACCTCAGTTGCTGCCATACAACGTCCAGCATGAACCCATCTTCAGCGACAGTTTAAGACGAGATACTAACTTTTCCCCAAAGTAGCTGACGAGTGAGGCACAGATCCTCCTCTACCACCTCTGTTTTGGGAATGGAAATCCAAGTACACATCAGTGACTAAGAGATTTCCACTTACCCTATTGGTCATGGTCTGGTGGTGCTCAGCAGCCAGAAATGAAAAAAATCAGAGAAAATTTTGTGTAGCTGACAGAGTGTGACGTGCACCTGAAATCAATTTGGAAGCAGCAAAGGCTGCAGAGACCACATTCCTCATAACTAGCACTGCTGAGTCATGGCCTGAGACTGAACCGGCTGCAGTTTCTGAGAAATTGCAATTCAAATCAAATGCTTCATAGGCAGGTGTGACTGTGACAAAGTCCATGTCAGAGGGATGACGTGCAGATCTGCTTAGAGTTATCTGTGTATGCATAGCTACACAGCCCCCATCGGCTCTTCCCCAAAATGTAGGCTTTGGATAGCGGTAGGATAGGAGGCAGCGAGGCAAAAACAAGCCAGCATCATCCCCAGTGACTCTCACCCAACCCCACCTTCAAATTGCCAGAAGAGCTATTCAGACCACAGCCATAGCTAGGATTCACAAACAGGTCAATAATGTTTCTTGATCAAATGGATCAAAAGCTGCTGACAGAACAAAGACTCTGCCTGGGGTTTTGAGCTCTCTTTGGTCATCTCTAGGAGCTGCTCGTCCCCTGAAAGGACTAGAGCCTGTGTGCCACACTCAGCCTGGGAGAGGAGGACAAAATACTATGTCAAATTAGGGTTGCCCCACGACAACCTTGCTAACAACCATATCAAGAAAGGAAAGGTTAGAGACAGGACAGCACTCAAAATGCAGATCAATGAAAAAAGGGGTGGGATGGTTCAACAGGCACCTATCTTTAACTTGCTTAAAGAAAGCTTGCTTCATGTTTTACCACTTCCACAACAACATGCTGGAATACCTGTAAAGCACCAAACTGAAACCTCCCTACAATGCCAGGCAGCAAAATAGGGACAAAGTTGATGAAGTAAAATTTCTTGGCTTTATCCTCGGAACTTGGACCAAATACTAAAAAAATGCTTAAGGCGGTCCTCATGCGATACTTACTGCAAAATCTTTCTGCTGTCTGCGGTCCAGCCTGCGCCTGCCAAGTGAGATGTCTCTCTGAGGCATGGCACCAGGCAGAACCAGCCCTTGCCACTGGGGAAACAGGACCCTGAAGCTCCAGAGTCCCACTCATCCCAGGAGGCAGGGCAGGGCAGAAGGTGTTCTTCTAAGATACACTGCTTTAAGATAGAGAA